TCAACTCATTACTTAATATAAAAAGCCTTAAGTATACCAATGAACCATGCTAGTTAATAAAAAGCCCACTAGCCCAAGCCTATGACCTAAAAAAGTAAGAACATTACAAAGTATTATAAATGCGCAAGTCACATGGTATGACTCTCCCTCTCCCTCTATTACTCTTACTTTCTTAATAATTCTTATGCTCTGATTAACTTAGATGCTTAGAGTTCGCCCATGATCATCATTTCGGTTCCACCCTGGAACAGTAGGTTTTAGTGGGTTATGAGCAAAGGTTAACTTAAATTTTTTATGGTTTAGTGAACTGTGAATATTAGGAAACAGCGGTTAATATCTTGTTGCTTGTTTGTTTAATTCATTGATGAGATTAAACTTATACGTAGTATTAATTAGCTTAGCTTGTTGGGTTTGCGGTGATTTTCTATCCTATAGTGATTAAAAAATTTGTTTGATATACCTCTTGATATAACATTCTAAGTTGTACTAGTCATCATTTAATTAAAAGTCACTTTTATTACTACGTATTTATAAATTCCCTACAATCAGATAACTTTGAAATTGATAAAATTCAATTGATGCTCTTTCAATTATAATGACCATGTTGAATTATGAATTGATAAAATTTTGTTGCTTGTATATATAGGGTAGAGAGCTTTAAAATCCATATTTGGCTCGGCAAATCAAAAATAGCCGGCATCGTGATCGCCATATCTGGAACCATGATCCTGAGCTTTTGCAAGGGTCATGTAATCCAGATTTGGCCCTCGCTGCAACACGATAATTATCGGTCTAAAACCGATCATAGTCGCCGGCTCCCGAGCGCTCCTCGTCAAGAGATCCTAGGATTCTTCTTGGTTGTCCTAAGCTGTGTTACAGCATCCGCGCCGAGCATCATCCAGGTATATAAATGTTAAAACTATCGTCTACATTATTTACGTTTTTAAATATGTAGTAGTAGACTAGCAGTGAATTCCAGTTTGATTTGGAATTTCACTAAGGTAATTAATAAAAAGCGCAATGTATGTAATAAGTATTTGTAATATAAAAGAATGAATAACATGATACTTTTATGGTCATCTGCCTTCATAAATCATAATCTATCTTACGATTGTAGTCCGTATTATATACGAAGTATATTGTTAGGGGATATGTGCTGTTTTTATGACATTCATATTGGTAATAATACAGAGAAAACGAATAACATGATACTTTTATGGTCATGTGGTCATCTGCCTTCATAATCTTACTATCATAGTTTACTTAAATTGCTGCCTTTAATTTATTATAAAGTGCATAGTAAATTAGGGGCCATTTACTGTTTTTATGACATTGTTTTAGAGTTTAGCATATTGGTAATAATACAAAGAAAATGATATAAACATTTAAGATCGATTTAAAAATAAATAAATTTAGAGAGAATTTATGGTATACAATCATATATAAATACTCTATATGTGATACACATACATGTACAACGTAGATAATGTTGTATTTTTAATTTTTTTTATTGTAGTGAAAAAAATTATGTGAGAATAATACCCCTTTATTACAAGTAATATGTATGTATGTGATGGAGGGAGTATTTGATTAAATTAAAAGGTGATAAATAATACTATACTATATATAATATTTACCACCAAGCCATAATAGGAATGTTAAAAAGTGTCTTACATAAGAGAGTTCGAACGTCAGACTATATATAATATATTTACCACCAAGCCATAATAGTCTACTTAATACTTATCTCCGTTTTTTATTAGTTGACACGTATTCCTTTTTTGAAAGTTTTTTTTTTAGGTTACACGTTTCCTTTTTGAGTAAGTTTTGTACCTTGCTTTTTAGGTGTGTCCCACTTGCTTTATCATTCTCTTTCACTCTCTCTCCTCTCCTTAATATGTATGTCTAAATTGAACGTGTCAACTAAATAAAAATGGAGGAAGTATTATGTACAGTTCAAGTATTTTGAATTTTAATTTGGGGTCGTTTAATATATTGGGCCTTTGCTAAGGACCAACTTGTATAGGGCCTTAGCCGGCATTGTTATTGTTAATTAGCCATTAATCCATTATGTATGTTAATTACTTTTTTATTGGGTAAATTAGGCAAAAATTATGGTGTTATTTCCGGACCAGTTGAGCATTAGTGCCTTAATTGTAACAAATGGTGCCATTCAGTGTCTGTTTTTTACACTCATCAGAAACAAGGGGCGATTGCCTTACACCTGGGTCTTCAGAGCTAACGATGGCCTAGTTCTGATGTGGTTGATTGTACTATTTGCGGTAAAATTTATTTTTAAAGTAACTTTATCTAAATAAATTACATTTGCTTCAAAAAAAAAAATAAAAAAATACTTGATTAATTCTATATTTTTTTATTTGTAGGGGGTTTTCGGTTCGGGGATAAATATGGTCCTTACAAATTGGTGTATTAAGAAAAAAGGACCATTTTTTGTTTCCATTTTTGGTCCGGTTTCATTATTCGTTGTAGCCTTTTTCAGCCCTCTCATCCTAGATGAGAAATTATATATAGGAAGGTATGTATATACTACCAACTATTTCATTTTAAAAAAAATTCTAAGGGGTTGTTTGATTGACAAATAAAAACATGGAAAGTTGAAAATCCTAGGAAATTGAAATTCTTTGAAGCTGTTTGGTTGACAAATTCATGGGAAGTAGAAATTCCCATGAATTTTCACTTCCCACAAAATGGGGGAAGTTAATTACCTAGGGGGACCTAGGTAAATGGAACTTCCCATGGGAATTTCCACTTCCCTTAGTTAACCACACACTTTTTAGAATTTCGTAGGAAGTTCAATTTCATGGGAAATCAATTTTTCAAGGAATTTGCAATTCCTACCTTCAACCAAACGAGCCCTAATTGTTGTAATTTTCTTATATATAACTTTTTTTTTGGAATAGATTTTCTTATATATAACTTAATTATCTAAAATTTATATTTCGCAGTGTCATAGGAGCAATAATAATAGCTGGCGGCGTTTACTTAGTTTTGTGGGCTAAAAATAAGGAAGAAGCTCAACAGAACGATATGGAAGTTTGATAAGTTTAGGAATTAAGTTCAAACGAAGAAATGCTCTTTTTTTTTTTTTTTTTTTGGAAGATGTTTAGAGGGCCACAAGGGCGGGGTGAGAATTGATCCCAAGATCTCTTAGAACCGGAAGGAAAGCTCTAACCACTTGAGCTACCCCTCACTCTCAAGAAATGTATTTTATGAAACTATCAAAATTTTACTTTTGTTATTTTTATATGTAATTAATAGTAATGTTACTCCGTATTTTATGAATTGAAAATGATACAAGTATTAGTTTTATGAGGTTAATTATATTTTCTAAAGTATATCACTGTTGGGCCTATTAAAAAAAAGTATATCACTGTTGAGCCTATTAAAAAAAAGTATATCACTGTTGGGCCAGTAATTCAATACTCCAAATTTAATACTAGTATCATAAAAAATAAATAAAAGTATGAGTATCAATTACTAAAAACGCTTTAATGAACTCTTTCATATGATTTGTTGTAAAATCATTAATTAATTAATAATATAATAATAAAAAAATATCTTTTAAATTCTTAAATCGTGTATCACACGATTACTAATCTAGTAACTAATATATAGAGCTAAACTTTTAGTCAGTTCACGAAATTGCGACACTTGGCGTTCCAACTTTTCGCCAAGTGTCGTGCCATGTTGGATAGATTTAAATAGACTTCATACGATAAAAAAAATACAGTTTTATTATGGATTAAATACCAATATTTTAGATGTACAAATTGAATTATAATTTTATTCAAAAAAAAATTATATGATTATAATTCTAAAAAATTATCATATAAATTTATTTTTTATATCACAATATTTTTTGGAGTGAAGGAAGTAGTTCAAAGCGTAAAACACCCATTTATAATATATACTAATCGGTTAAATTATGTACTTCACAATCTAATAGAATGGATACCTGTCAATTAGGGTTGGGACATGAAACATCTTGGATTGGGTCACTCCAGGTTATAAGTTAAGAAATATTCAACCCTTGCCCAAAGTTTTGGATTCGGGTCATTCCAACGTGCTTTGAACATTTATTTTATTTAGTTTATTTTTTGGTAATTTTTTTTAATTTTTTTAATATGTTAAAGTGAACATTTTCACCAACATTATTATTAGTCATTACATGCCTACTAGATAACAAGTCGTCATAAAAACACATCTATTCATCAACCCAGGCATCACATATAGGATCAGTAGGATATTAGACTAATAAATATTACAAATCATATCCATCATCAATCCTATATAAATCAAATATAACAATTTTATATATATGCATGTAAATCATGTATATATATGCATGTAAATCAAATCATTACTACATACAAATCATATAGTATCGGTAGGATATTAATTACTACGTACAAATCATATAGCAATTGTATGTATATACATGTAAATCAAATAAATACTACATATTATATAAAATCAGCAGGATATTGGATACAATTGTACAAATCATATCAATCAAATTAATCCTATATAAATCAAATCATTACTACAAATCATATAAGATAGGTAAGATATTTTTACTAATAAATATTACAAACCAAATCGATCAAATAAATCCTAAATATTTTCTCTATTTTAGTAAATTATATATACCAATTATATGTACACAAAGTCTTATATGTATATATATACATGATATGAAAATCAAATAATTAATTACTACAAATCATATCGATGAAAATAATCTTATAAATTTTTCCTAATAGTAAAATAAATATAAATTGAAAGTATAATTATGACTTTTATAGAAAATATATACTAAATCAAATAAAATCAATGTTTTATGCGAATCAAATCCTTATCCTATAGTTAATGCAGATCAAAGATTATACAACAACAAACAAAAAAAAAAAAAAAAAAGGTTATAAAACGAAGTTGATGAATGTTGATACAACACACAAGAAAACTCAAGTTTGGCAAATATGATGAATAGCAACAAAAAATCCCCTACTCTTCTGTCAGTCACATTAGTTTGTGTTTTTGTTTTAAGCCAAAAAAGTGTAAATTGTCAGCAAGAATATACTGTGCATGTAATCAATCAAATTTCCAGTGAATCTGTTACCATTCACTGTCAGTCCAAGGATGATGATCTTGGATCACAGACGCTTGCAGCTAACGGCGGAGAATTTCATTGGACGTTTAAAGTAAACGTTCCACTAACTACGCTCTATAGTTGTGATGCCACCTCTAGTAAAGGTCATGCTCATTTTGATGCATTTCATGTTGATGCTGGCTTTCTAAATAAATGTGATGGTCACAAAGACTGTACTTGGCATGCTCTAGATAATGGAATTAACTTGTATAATGCGCCTGCTAAAGCCGATGAGCTAGTCGCCAAATGGGAGAGCTAACTCAATTATTTATGAATATGATGTATCATTAATGAAATTATTATTAATAAAATTACCGAGTATTAAATTTCTCTTTTGTACCAACCTCACTTTATGTGATATAATACTTTCGTTTCATATTATTTGCAACGATTAGACATTTTTCTTCTATACTCTATTCATATCGTTGTATATTATATGAAACGGAGTTAGTATGTAGATACTCCCTCCGTCCCTTATTAATAGTCTCTTTTGGCCGAATTTTAGACCTAAAATGTTCACCTCATTTGTTTTTCCAACAATCATGAATGTTAATTTTTTTACAAAAATTACCTCTAATTAGCAACAATAATTGTGCAAATTTAACTTTTCCGTTTAAAATTTGTTTTTCCATTTACTTTTATTACTTTCTCTCTCTACTTTTTTGCATACCCAATGTACTTCACTACTCCGTACTCCTTACTTATATTTATTAATTTTCGTGAAAATTGTCTACAAGGGAATATCATTAAGGGACGGAGGGAGTAATAACTAGTTTTTTATTAGACTGTTGTGCAATACATGGTTAGTTTATATGTATATATAATATAAATTGTAACTTTTTCTGTTCTTTTTTACTTAAATTGTTTCCTTTATCACGTTTGCAAATGCAAAATTTTAACAATTAATAACTTTAACAATTAATAACTTTAATTCTTCAAAAGTAAAATTTATATATTATGATAATACTTATTGAGACGAATTCAAAAAAAAAAAAAACCCCACACATAAATATGTTTTTCCTTTTATATTATTCACAAAAAAACGGTCAAAGGAGTGGTGGTGAATAGTGTAAAAGTCAAAGCGGGTCAAGTAAAAACAACGGAGGAAGTATTTATTAGGTCCCGTTCACTTTACCTTACTTTTGCTGAACTGAAATATTTTTTTACTAAACTGAAATTATTTTTGATAAACTTAAATTATTTTTATTGAATTGAAATTAATTTTATTGAACTAGAATTATTTTTGCTAAATGAAATAGACACGGAGAAAGTATGAAAAACAATTGATTGCTAAATACCATTTTCTAAATAAACAACAATAACAAATACTTGCACTTTGAATTAACATACACGTTCCATTTAGCTTGTCAACCTTGTTTTAATTAATCAAAACTTTTAATATACTTAAATTGCAACAAACAATACCATAATACAATTTCTTATGTGGTTGATATCAAATAAATAGAAACCACTTCATTTGAAAAACGGAATGCATCACTCCACTCAATCGATCTCCATCAACAACCCTCTATCTTTCGAACTTTTTTTAATTTATTATTAATCAATTGGTATTATTAATCATTGGTATAAACTACAAATTAAATCAAGAAACTCAATGCCTCTATGAACTGCCTACAAAGCAAACAAATGACATTGTTAAGCATCTCAAACAACACATTTTTCAACCAAAAACTAGTGTATAGCCCGGGCGTTACCCCGGTTGCTACTTTTTTTAGTTATGCAACTGTTAATTTTTTTAAAGACATTTAATAGTTTGTATGTGTTTTTAATACTTTTGTAGTATAACATAAATTTGTGTGCAAGATTGTAACATAAGTGAGAATTAGTTAAATGGTTAAACAATGACTTTTTTTTTCTCACCCATATTGAAGGAGAATTGAGTTGATTACATGGCGTAGTATTAAGAAATTGAGTATATGACGTGGCGCAATGAGGAGTCTATGTGGCACATAGACGTTTTTAGAAACGCCTTTTAATATATTAGTATAGATTTCGAATTCATCTCAAAGACTCAAACCCCCCCCCCCCAAATCATCCTAAATTTCGTCATTAATAAATTATATGCACAAATACGTACTATCAATTTCTTATCAAATTGTAAATGTCAATATAATTTCTAGGACTTTGACACTAAACCCCATTTCAATTTCTAGGGTTTCGACACTAAACCCCTAAATACTGCTTTCCATGTTTCACAATTTCTGTTCATTTGATAAAGTTTAATAACAAAACAATTTACTTACGTTATCAACCTGGCTTCCAATTTCATCTTTATTTGAGTCTTCTCCTCCTGTTCCTACAATTAGGGGTGTTCAAAAATCGGCCAGGACAAAAAAATGACCTGGACTTGACCGAATTAGGCGATTTGATCTTCTAGTTAAGATTTTTTCGGTCCGATTCGGTCCAAAACCCTATAAAAACCGGTCTTGGACTAGATTTAGTTTTTCATAAAAATCAGTCCAAATCGGTCTAGTCTGGGTTTTGGACCGGTTTTTCGGTCTGTTTCGGGTTCAGTTTTAGGTTAACCCGCCCGGTTTATGGTTCTTAAATTCTAATTTTTGGTTTTTGGTCTAGCCCGGCTCAGTTTAGTCTTAGACCGATGAACAACCCTACCTAAAATAGTACAATACCAACAACCATAATGAAGCCCTCGATTTGTTCTCTTCTCTTGAACTCTCATTAGATTGTGTTTTTCCTTCGTCAATTACACTTTTAATATTCCATAATTTAATTCAGAAAATAATTGCAACTACTTTAATTAATACTTGTTTTCCCATTTCATATTCTCTCTCTTATTTTCATTATGGCTCTACTAATTTCACCAAATATTTTCACCCATCCCCTCTTCGTATTTAGAATTTGTTATATACACCTAATACTCAAGGTTGTACGATATTCCCGGTGTATATAACAACCTCTTCTTCATCAGGGTCCAAATATTGGCTCCACTGTATTCGAAAGACCGAAATATAACACTTGTATTTGTATGTAATTAAGTTGTACATAGAAAAAACAAGTGCATCGGACTTAATAATCAATATCAATATCAATCAATATATATATTAAAACTCATGGCAAGATATGATGTTTTGCCATGTGTTAACAATTTTGCCATTTGGCATATGAATATATGATGTGTCATCGCTAAATTATATCATAGCATTAATCATTGAAAAACTCTATGCATTAACTTTCATGTATTAATGTTAAGCTTAATTGATAAACTTTTCATATGCATGACAATTTCCCTTGGGCTGTAACTCCTTAATAATTACATAACAATAAAGTTAGTAAGAAATTAAACATTACTCTATTTTTATTTTGTGTATTAACTCATAAAATTGTATTCATAGAGTAAAAGATTATTGTGCATTATGGAGTAGTATATATTTTGACATCAAATTTATAAAGATTTGATTTATTATATTTTTATGATTTTAATGTAAAAAAATTATTCTTATAATCAAACCAACTCATACAAGCAACAAATTAATTAAGCTATCATATTAAATAATAATAATAAAAAAAAATCCTCCACTTAAGCTCTCAATGACAAACAAGCCAAAATATATATAAGCCCTGTTTGGTAGTTAGCTTATTGGGGGTATATTAGCTTATTTGACTAATTTTAGCTGATTGACTAGTCAAACAAGCTAATACAAGTGTTTGGTAGTAAGCTTATTAAAAGAGCTTATTCCACTAAATAAGTTCTTTTTGAAAAAGCTCATTTTAGGAGCTTTTTCAATTAGTTTATTCATTAATTATTGTGAAATGACACTTATAACCTCATTTAATTTAAAATTTTATCTAAACTACCTACCCCAGAATTAGCTTATTGGTCATTTCACATACTCAATCACCTTTAAGCTATCAGCTATTTACCAAACACTTTTATATAATCAGTTAATACAATAAGTTAGTCAAATCAGTTAATAAAATCAGCCAGTCAAAATCAGCTAACTCAATCAGCTTCAACTTCAGCTTTCAGCTTTCTCCCAAACAGGGCCATAGTTCAATTAAAGTAAAAAAAATTATAATGACCCGGGCTATCGCTCGCCAATAACTAGTTTCAATCCTAAATCTCAACGGCTCATCTTTATGTATTCCCAATTTTCCACCACATACACACACATACTTTGCAAGAAAAAGAGAACAACAATGGCACTCTGTAGTCACTCCACACTAACAGCATCAGCAATGATTCACACCAGGTGTTTCAGCGCTTCAAAAGAAACCAATCTTTCAAAACCCTCTTTGAAGCTTCCCCTTTTCTGGCCATGGCAAAAGGTAACTTCTAATCTAACTCTTTAATCATTCAGACCCACCAAGTGTTTGATAAAATGCCTAAGAGAATTTTTATTTTGAAAATTAGGTCAAAGTCGGCCCTCTTAGTGTTTCTCCAATGGGGTTTGGTACCTGGGCATGGGGGAATCAACTCTTGTGGGGTTACCAAGAATCAATGGACGATGAGCTTCAACAGGTTTTCAATCTTGCTGTTGATAATGGCATCAATCTTTTTGATACTGCTGATTCTTATGGAACTGGGAAATTAAATGGGCAAAGTGAGAAGCTTTTGGGCAGATTTATTCGTGAATATAAAGGTTAGTTTGTTTATGTTTTACACCCTTCTTGTTGGGGTTTGCCCATTTATAGGGATGCTTTAATTGCATATGTTTTCGATGGGACATGATACTATCTACTAGAATGTTGTGCATTGAAAGATTATGTGGTTATATTGACAAATAATTGTTAAATCAGTGCTAAAATGAAGAAAAATGATTATAGGTCATTGCTAATTGTTTCTTCATTTTAGCACTGATTTAACAATTATTTGTCAATATGTGTTTCGAACTTAACTGGAGAAGGTCTAGGAAGCCCACCTGCTTGTTCTGACAATGGGCTTGCTTGCACTTGCAACTAAATAGGAGTATTATATGAAAATAATATCGTACAGCTTGTAATTATGCAAGTGGAAATGGGGATTGATTGAATTGGTGCTGTTAAAAGTTGGATAAGGAAGTTGTATGAGATACTAGTATATCTTAGAGCTGTCCATTCGGGTAAACGGGTCGGGTTTTGGTCGGGTAAGAGTGGGTCGGATCAACTCGGGTCGGGTCAATTCGGATTAATTCCATAACCTATGCGGGTCGGGTTTGGGTTGGGTCATGCTTGAGTCGAGTCACGTCGGGTCATACTTTTTATCGGGTTAATAACAGGTCGGGTTACATTCGGGTCGGGTGAACAATAGGTCGAGTTTAATTCGGGTTTTCATGGGTTAAAACGGGTTAGGGTAATTCACAGGTTTGAGTCGGGTTTGGTTTAAGTCAATAGAATCAGGTCGGGTCATTCTCGGGTTTGAGTCAAGTTCGGTTCAAGCCAATAATTTGCGGGTTATAATCAGGTCGGGTCATTTTCAAGTCGGGTCATTCTCGGGTTCAAGTCAATAATTTGCGGGTTATAAACAGGTTGAGTCATTTTCAAGTCAGGTCATTCTCCGATTCAAGTCGAGTTAAGTTCAAGTCAATAATTTGCAGGTTACAATCAGGTCGGGTCATTTCCAAGCCAGGTCGTATTCGGGTTCAACTAACTATAAATAGATAATTATCATCTTTATCAAGCTAATTAATTCCTTTGACTATAATATATATGGCAATATACTAGGGAACTAGAGTCTATAATTTAGTAAGATAATTATCTCCTTTCACCATACAACAAATATATACTATATTTAACTCTTAAATTTGAGGATGATGCTCCTTTCTTTTGCTGGCCTGGACCGACTTGGTCTCCCTAGACAAAATGTTTTGATCAACAATAATAAGGTGGTCTAAATTGCATTTCAGGTGATTTGAAATTAGGTCAGGAATAATTTGGGTTGAATTTAGGTCGGGTTTATAACAAGTCGTGTTGATTTCGAGTCGAGTTAGTAACAGACCGGGTTGAATTTTTGGGTCGGGTAAGTAATAGGCCTGGTAAAAATCAGGTCGGGTCAATAACAACTCAGGTTTAATTTGGGTCAGGTTGATTTCGGGTCGAGTTTGTAACAGGTTGGGTCAAATTCGGATCGGGTTAGGAACCGGTCGGGTTGAATTTAGGTCAGGTTAGTAACAAGTCGGGTTAAATTCGGGTTTTGACGGGTTAAAACGGGTTTGGGTTGATTTCGGTTTAAGTCGGATTCGGTACAAGTTAATTAAATTGGCCGTTGTAAACCGGTAAATCGATGCAAGTTGTAAACCGGTAAATTGGCTGTTAAAAAGCAAATTGGATGGTTCCACCAACCCAACTGGACTCCCGGAGGGTATTAGGGACATGATAAGCATTTCGACAATTTTTATTCCGGGTGAAAATAAGTCAAAAAATTCCAAAATTGAAGGCTAATATCCACATTTTTTTAGAAATTTTGGTTGTTTCGGGGCCCGGTGTCTTAAAGGCGTGAGATTTTAGAGAATACATCCGGGGGTCATAAAATGCTGTTTGGAACCATATATGATCATTATATGTTGTCATAGATGTTCTTGGTAGGCTTGAGTTAATGAAATCGGGTGCAAGTTGTAATTTGGTAAATTGGTTGTTTAAAGGCAAATTAGATGGTTCCACCCACCCAATTGGACTTCCGAAGGGTATTAGGGACCTTTGTAAACATTTCGACAATTTTTTTTTCTAGGCGGAAAAAAGTAAAAAAAATTCCAAAATTGAATGCTAATATCCACGCTTTTTGAGAAATTTTGTGGGTTTTAGGGCCCGGTGTCGAAAAGACTTTAGATTTTAGGGGATACATCTCGGGGTCATATAATTCCGTTTGGAACCATATATGATCATTATATGTTGTCATAAATGTTCTTAGTAGGCTTGATTTAATGAAATCGGTGCAAGTATTAATCGGTAAATTGGTCGTTTAAAGGCAAATTGGATGGTTACACCCACCTAATTGGACTTACGGAGGGTATTAGGGACCATGGTAAACATTTCGACAATTTTTACTTTTGGGCGAAAAAAGTCAAAAAATTCAAAAATTAATGGCTAATATATACACGCTTTTTCAAAAATTTTGGAGGTTTCGTGGCCCGGTTTTTAAAAGCCTTGAAATTTTAGGGGATACATCTCAAGGTTGTATAATGCCGTTTGGAACCATATATGATCATTATATGTTGTCATAAATGTTCGTTGTAAACTTGAATAAATGAAATCGGTGCAAGTTATAAACCGGTAAATTGACCGTTTAAAGGCAAATTGGATGGTTACACCCACCTAGTTGGACTCCCGGAGGATATTAGGGACCATGGTAAACATTTAGGCAATTTTTATTTTCGGGTGAAAAAAGTCAAAAAATTCCAAAATTAAAGGCTAATATCCACGTTTTTTGAGAAATTTTGGAGCTTTCAGGGCAGTGTCTAAAAGCCTTGAAGTTTTAGAACATACATCTCGGGGTCATATAATACCGTTTGGAACCATATATGATCATTATATGTTGTCATAAATGTTTGTGGTAGGCTTGATTTAATGAAATCGGTGCAAGTTGTAAACCGGTAAATTTGCCGTATAAAGACGAATTGGATGGTTCCACCCACTTGATTGAACTCTCGGAGGGTATTAGAGAGTAGAGACCATGATAAACATTTCGGCAATTTTTATTTCGGGCGAAAATAAGTTAAAAAATTCAAAAATTGAAAGCTAAAATCCTCGCTTTTTGAGAAATTTTGGAGGTTCCGGAACCTAGTGTCGAAAATGCTTGAGATTTTAGGGGATACATCTCAGGGTCATATAATGTCGTTTGAAACCATATATAATCATTATATGTTGTCATAAATGTTTGTGGTATGCTTGAATCAATGAAATCGGTGCAAGTTGTAAATCGGTAAATTTGCCTTTGAATGGCAAATTGGATGGTTCCACCCACCCAATTAGACTCCAGGAGGGTATTAGAGACCATGGTAAGCATTTCGGCAATTTTATTTTCGGGCGAAAAGAAGTTAAAAAATTCCAAAATTGAAGTCTAATATCCACACTTTTTGAGAGATTTTAGAGGTTTCGGGGCCCGATGTTGAAAAGTTTTGAAATTTTAGGGAATACATTTCGAGGTCATATAAATGTCGTTTGAAATCATATATGATCGTTATTTGTTGTCATAAATGTTCGTTGTAGGCTTGAGTTGATTAAATCAGTGGAAGTTGTAAACCGGTAACTCTGCTGTTTAAAGGCAAATTATATGGTTCAACCCACCTAATTGGACTCCTGGAAGGTATTAGGGACCATAGTAAACATTTCGGCTATTTTTATTTTCGGGCAAAAATAGTCAAAAAAAAATTCCAAAATTGAAGTCTAATATCCACGCTTTTGTGAAATTTTGGATGTTTCGGGGCCTTGTGTTGAAAAGTCTTGAAATTTTAGGGAATACATTTCGGGATCTTATAATGTAATTTGGAACCATATATGATCATTATTTGTTGTCATAAGTGTTCGTGGTAAGGTTGAGTTAATGAAATCGATGCAAGTTGTAAATCGGTAAATTGGTCATTTAAAGACAAATTTGATTTTTCAACCTACCCAATTGGACTCTCGGATGGTATTAGGGACCATGGTAAATATTTCGGCAATTTTTATTTTCGGGCAAAAAGAAGTCTAAAAATTCCAAAATTGAAGGATAATATCCACGTTTTTTGAAAAATTTTGGAGGTTTCGAGGCCCAGTGTCGAAAATACTTGAGATTTTAGGGGATACATCTCGGGGTCATATAATGCCGTTTAGAACCATATATGATAATTATATGTTATTATAAATGTTCGTTGTAGGCTTGAGTTAATGAAATCGAAGAAGTTGTAAACTGCTAAATTTTGACCGTTTAAAGGCAAATTGGATAGTTCCTCCCACCCATTTGGACTCCTGGAGGGTATTAGGGACCATGGTAAATATTTTGGGCAATTTTTATTTCCGAGCGAAAAAAGTAAAAAAAAAATTCCAAAATTGAAATCCACGCATTTTGCGAAATTTGCACGCATTCGTGGTAGGCTTGAGTTAATGAAATCGATATAGGTAGTAAATCGGTAAATTTGCCGGTTTAAGGCAAATTGGATGCTTCCACCCACCCAATGGGACTTCCGGGGGGAATTAGGTACCATGGGAAACATTTCGGCAATTTTATTTCTGGGCGAAAAATAGTCAAAAAATTCAAAAATTGAAGGCTAATATCCACGTTTTTTGAGAAATTTTGTAGGTTTCGAGGCCCATTGTCGAAAAGCCTTGAGGTTTTAGGGGATATATCTCAGGGTCATATAATGTCGTTTGGAACCATATATGATCATTATATGTTGTCATAAGTGTTCGTAGTAGGCTTGAATTAATGAAATCGGTGAGAGTTGTAAATCGGTAAATTGGTCGTTTAAAGGCAAATTGGATGGTTCCACCTACCAACTTTGACCCCTGAAGGATATTAGGGATCATGGTAAACATTTCAGCAATTTTTATTCGAAGGCGAAGATTAGTAAAAAAAATTCAAAAATTAAAGGCTAATATATTCGTTTTTTGTGAAATTTTGGAGTTTTCGAGGCTCGGTGTCTAAAAGTCTTGAAATTATAGAGAATACATCTCGGGGTCATATAATTTT